TTCAATGTCTCAAGGTACCTAGGTAATAAGCAAAGTACTTTACCACTTACCCAAGGTGCCTTAGGGCGGTCGATCCCAATCCCCCAAAGCAGACGCGCAATTCAGGGTCCAGCTGCGCTAGGTCGGCGAGGGCACCCTGGGGCCTGCACCTCGTTCAGGCGCAGCTCCTTGTTCCGAGTTCGTCAGTCCGTGTTGCGCTGCGGCTTGCCCAGGTTCTTGCAGCGGCACCCGCGCGCGCATTGCACTGCACAGCACAGCACAGCACACCTCAAGGTACCTTAGTGACAGTCAGAAACATCAGATTCGGTCGGAGCAAACCTAAGCTACCATGGAAGGGAGTCGGGTACCAGCGACGGGCCAGAGACGGGACGATGATGCACGTTGTCGATGACATGGGATGCTATTACATCGTAATCAGACTCCCGTCCCCCAGTAAGACATCTCACTTAAGATAATGATTCGGACAGAACCTACACAGTAGTACACAGTAGAAAGGTGGAAAGAGAAAAGGCAATGTAAAAAAAAAAAAAAAAAGTTGGAAATGGAAGCGCACATGGCAGTGGCCAGTGGGCACCCCGCTCGCCTCCGTCCCCCTGTCGTGCAATGTCTGTATCCGTCGACGCGGTGCCCAGAGACTGCGATACCCCGGGTCAAAGTGGGAAGCTGGCGTGCAAACACCCCCGGCTCAGGGAACCTAATTACCTGACTTTCGGGCTGTCTCCCGCCCCAGTCTCCAGGCCCCGTCCTTCACCATCACGCGTGACGCTTCACCCTCGATCCTCGTTCCCGTTCTGTCAAAAGGTTCCTCCTTCCTTACCTTGCCTAAGGTACCTTACCATACCAACCTTACCATACCTTACCTTATCGTATATCATACGTGCTTGTGCTTACCTTGGGTACCTTGGTTACAACTTATTGGTTTTGATAGCAATCCTGCGCAACACCAACAAACCCCATCTTGTTCTTACAAACATCAATCGTGGCACCCGTCTCTCTCCATTTCTCTCTCCCTCTTCCTCTCCTTTTTCCCCTCTACCCCCCTCCCCCCTCTCTATTTTCACCTACGTGCCAATCTCAAGCCTGCAACATCCGGCACGCTCCCGTCATCACCACCTTGAGGCAACTAACAGTCGCGCAAATCACAAAGGTGCGCAACCAACCTCCGAGACACATCAGCATTCCACCGAGCCAAATCGGTAGCCGCCACCACGACTCGAACGTACTTGATGACGACATTGGTCTGAGCCCAAGACTACCCTCTCCTACTGCTATTGCGTCAAGCACACCGCAACTGGATACACTAAACCACCTTGCCCATTATCGACCCGTCCGTTCCCCCTCCTTCGTCGCGCTAAAGCTGCCTAAACCCGTCTAAAAGTTCACCAGCAACCCCTTCCGACGCCAGCATCACTGCTGATACCTTGCGCTAGTCTTGAGTCGTCGCTGTCGTTCAGATTAACACCGGCCTCCTGGCCTGTCTCGGTCTCCCTACCTTACCTCACAGAGTGACTGTACCTCCCGTGTATTCGTCCCAAGAACGCCAACAATGGCAGCCAGATCCCCGCCTCCGTCTACACCCACGCCAAAGGCATACTCCAACCACGCGCCGCACATTGCTGATCCCGATTCCTACAGGGAACCAGCTACACAAGACATGGACAGAACTGCCTATGGCGCTGCGGCCGACAGGAACTCAAATCGCACCTCGTCCTATTTCCCTCAACAACCACCTCAGCTCTCCTCCTCCTCGTCCTACAACTCTCCCGCTTCCGGCGCATCTACATATCCTTCTCCTCATAACGCCGCTCCTCTGCCATACGACGGAGACCAAGAAACCCATTACAACACCCTTGCCAACGCGCAATCCGTTAGCCACCAAACACAACACTTCCCGCAAGGAGGTGACGGAGCATACTACGATCCCCCGACGGCTGCTTCAAAGTACGACAACAACCTAGCTGTGCCCTCCGCTACCACCCAGGGCAAGTTTACAGAGGAATGGGATGTAAGTCAGAGAGGAAGCAGTATCATTGACGGTTCCAACATGCCGCGGTCCAACTCATTCGTCTCCAACAATGGGGACGACCACCTGAGCCTCCCCTCACGCCACAACACCCTCAAGAAGAAGAGCTCGCTGCGCAGAAATGGCAGTCTGAAGCGGAGCGGTAGTCGTCGAAGCATGAAGGCTGGCAGCGTTCGTAGTCTAGCTCTGCAGTCTTCCAACGACGCAGATGAGGTGCACAGCGCTTTCCATTGCCCCGTTCCAACATCTGGGAACCCAACCGAGGCCCTAGCCAATCGATTCCAGTGTAAGTTCTGTCCAGTGCCGACGAACTATGTGTACGCCAAAGACTTACATCATTTTGCAGCTTGGCGCAAGATTCTCAAGGATCTTATCGCATACTTTCGCGAAATCCAGACCCATTACGAGCACAAGTCCAAGTCCCTGGTGAAGCTGGCTAATGTTGCCAACAACATCTCCAGCCCTCCTGGTTTCCTCAACTCGGGAGGCATCGACGATGCACTGCAAATACTGCGTGCTTACCACAAGGGCGCCATCCTAGAATCGAACAAGGCCAAGGAGATTGAGGAGGACGTGATCCTGGCTCTCACTGGGCTGAGAAACGATCTACACCAGAAGATCAAGGAGATCAAGAACCTGTCGGGAGACTTCAAAAATTCCGTGGAAAGGGAGATGGACGGTACCCGAAGGGCCGTCAAGGCTTTACAAGACACTCTGGGCCAGACCGACCTCGACCCCTCGCTGACGACCGGAAAGCAAGATCCTTACCTCCTGCGGCTCGCGGTGGACAGGCAGGTTGAGCGCCAGATTGATGAGGAGAACTACTTGCATCAGGCTTACCTGAACTTGGAGAATTCTGGCCGGGAGCTTGAAGCTATTGTGGTTGGTGAGATCCAGAAGGCTTATAACGCCTATGCTGGCATACTCAAGCGCGAGTCTGATGCTGCGTACGGGGCAATTGAAGAGCTCCGCGTTGGCCCGATCTCCATGCCCAAGGATTTTGAGTGGTCGCATTTCGTTCAAAAGGACGACCAGTTCGTGGACCCCAACATCCCAATCCGTTCTGCCGAGCATATCCACTATCCCGGCCGGGAGCACGTTGGGTGCCAGGAGATCCGCGCCGGATTGCTCGAGCGCAAAAGCAAATACCTCAAAAGCTACACAGCTGGCTGGTAAGCGCGCCCTCCCCAATATTACGTTGAGGCTGTTACCAAAATCGCCCTACTGACACTTTTGGTACTAGGTATGTACTTTCATCGACTCACCTTCATGAATTCAAGTCTGCGGACAAGGGCCAGGCCCCCGTTATGTCTTTATATCTTCCAGAGCAGAAATTAGGTTCGCACTCGAGCGAAGGAGGATCGTCCAACAAGTTCATCCTCAAGGGTCGCCAGACTGGATCAATGCACCGTGGTCACACATGGGTCTTCCGCGCTGAGAGCCATGATACCATGATGGCGTGGTACGAGGATATCAAAGTTCTCACCGAGAGGTCGCCGCAAGAAAGGAGCGAGTTTGTTCGCGGCCACGTCCGAAGCCTCAGCCAGTCTTCGCAACGCTCCACTAGCAGCGACGGTGTTCTCGAAGATGATGACGACGAGCCATTTTCGGCCGACACAGCGGTCGCAGCCAGCACGAGTTCGAGACAAGACGTCCGCCGTCCCGAAGCAGGTGGGCGATTCCCATCCGACATCCAAGTCAACGCACAGCGAGGCTTACAGGCACCTCTTTCGCCATCTAGTGTAAGCTCAGGATTTGACAACTCTGACCGTGACGCCGCCGCGCAAGCATACGCTCTACCGGGAAGCATGCTCGGCGTCTATCACGGGTCGAGTGAACATCCCGAACATCCTACAGGTTACGGAGGGTCAGACCGGACCCCAATGGAAGAAATGCCTTCCCACGCAGCCGAATTGTCCCAGCAGGCTCAGGAAGACGGAGTCAACCCTTATACCAGCGAAGCGATCCGCCGATCTCAATCTGGTAGCCGTGGACACCAGGCAGTATTTGTACCTGGAGACGAGGAACAGCGAGTGCATAGCCATCATGGCGCCATAGGCAACTACGACGATGATTCCAGGCCTGTCTCCAATGTCAGCGGATATGACCGTGGCCTCGAGACACCAGGCGGCAACAGCCAGTATGGTCAGTGGATGAATGGCAACGGGAAAGCCTCCTCAGGCCTTTCCAACAGTGGCATCGTTGACCAGCAAGAGACGGGCGAGTACTACGCGTCGGGTGAACAAAGTGCCGGTCACGTCAACGTAATTCCTATCGTTGGCATGGGCGATGGCCATGCCCAGAACAATAAGGAGGTTGAGCAGAACGGTTTCTCTGGCCTTAACAAATCCTCAACAGCTGCAAGCCAGGATGTGCCTCGTCAGCATCAACAGCTATCAGCTATTCGTCCGACTTCTGGTACCATCAGAACCGACAGCGTACCGACGATTTCCAACTTGCACATTCCAGGTGAATACCCTAAGGGTACACCCGGAGTCGAAGCCAGACGTTGAGGACAAGGCATGGAAGACGGATCAACTGGGAGGGAACAATGGCTCGAATATGAGGGAGTGGAACTGGATGAAGAGATGGGTGTGGCCGTTCGTTTTCTATCCTTTGTGCTTCGCCGCAATGGCATGAGTGTGTCGAAGTTTCTTGTCTCCAATGCGATTGAGAAGAGAATGTGCGTTCAGGGGAGTAAGGCGCGGAAAGAGCAACGAGGGTGCCGACCCCCTTTTTTTCCAATTTGACAGTGTTTCATTCTATTTCCTTGACGATCTCCAGCACAATGCAAATGATATCCAACCAAACCTTTTTTAGACGCATTCGTCTTCATCAGATCTACCTCTGAACTTTACTGCTAGCACGAGGAGTATCGTTGCACATATTACTGCTGGGCCACCTAGACCGATGCCAAAATATTGGGCCCCATGAAACCCGGACAGCTTGTCCGTGCCACTTGAATTAACTTGGACCTCTACAGTCCTCGCGATTCCCATAGCCAGCGACATTGCGTAGCTCGACACGGCCAGAACAAGACCACTCGCAACTCCTTGGTGCCCGTCTGCCAGATTCTGTCTGAGCAGGATGGTAGCCAGAGGCGTAGTTAGGACCATCCCAAGCGGAGCGAATATGGTACTGACGAACGTGTTTGCCCAATACGTCTGGTCGGACGGTGCCGTTGCCATGAGGATAGATGCCAGTAGCAAGGACAGGACGGCTGCGAAGAAGGCCCAGTACACCTCTTCTCCGGGCATGAGGTACGCCAGCAGCAGGCCCACAGCTACCGCCTCGACGGCGACAGGTACGAAGCTCGCGCTGGCGAGGAGAGGGTCCCAGCTGCGCAGGACCTCGAGGGTTTGGAAGCTGTAAAAGGCCCAAATGACGAAGCAAGCCCACGCCGCTGCCGTGCAGCCCAAGATCAGATTGGGCCTCGCGGTCATGGCGCGCAGCGGGAGGAGAGGGTTCGCGGCGGCGGTCTCGTTGTAGAGAAAGGCGGCGAGGAGCATGGCGCCGATGATGAGGATGAAGTAGGTGTATGGCGTGCGCCAACCCACGGCCGGTGCCTGGTTCCATGTGAAACTGAATAGGGTGAGACCACTGCCGCCGAGGAGTGTTCCGGATACGTCGAGCTGCGCCCAGATGGTATGATCATAGGGGCTTTTTCGAGGGGCTTGCCGTGGAACAACTAGGAGGCTGAGACCCGCGGCGGAGATGTTGATGGCCGCGAGGACGAAGAAGGACCATTCCCAGGAATCGTTGTAGGCAAACAGAGACGACATCACTGCGCCTATCACGAAGCCCACGGGTGCGGCGACGCTGAAGAACGCTAGTGCCATGTCTTTCCTCTGGCTCGGCGGCAGCGTCTTTTCGAGAACCGAGAAGCTGTTGGGTACGCAGAGCGCCGGTCCCAGGCCCTGCATGGCACGGCAGAAGCAGAAGTAGGCGGTGCCGTTTGCCCCGCCGTTTCGGACGTTGACGGAGAAGCCGGCGAGGAGGCTCCAGAGCGCGAACCAGAGGCAGCCAAGGATGATCACGGGCTTGCGGCCAAGGACTTCGCCCAGGCGTTGCGAGGGTAGGGCAAATGCCCCTATGGTGAGGGTATAGGCTGCGGTGAACCACGAGTGCTGGCCGCTCGGTATATCTGGAAACGACCCGGCGATGGTGAGGGCCGGTGCCATGGCCTGGGCGAGACCGGCGAACATGAGAAATTGGTGCAGACTGATGACGGCTACTAGAAAGGACCCCTTTGCAGATGACAGCGGCTCTGGAGGTATTTCTCGGAGGAGAGGCTCTTCCGGGTAAGTTGCGTTCTGTAGAGCCCAGGAAATGCGCTCCTCGTTTTCGGGGTACCTGGATTTTTCGCCGGGCCTGTTGAGCGGCGTTGCCTCCGTTGAGGACCTGAACCGTTGAGTGAAGACTATCCTCCTGGCAGCCTCGAATAAGTCTGGGTACTCTGAAGGATGTTCGAGTGCCTCTGGTCCTGATCCCCTCGGCAGTGTGGTGGCAGTTATGGGTTTTGCCAACGACGTCGAAGTCGACGGCTGTTGGGCTTGTATTTCTGGATTATTATATGGGTATGTGCTATCTGTCGCCGGATGTTGACCAACGGACAACGCCCCTAGCATCATGGTTCGTGAAAGTGGTGACGTCGTCGGGTCGCGAGAGGAAGTGGGCGATACAGACAATACAGCATCATGTCTGGAGGTGTCGAGGGCCGAAGGAGCCGTGCTCGGCCGAGAATGATGAGAGTTGGTAGGGCTCACGCCGTCGTCGTCGAGGATAGGAGAGACGAGAACCGGAGCCGAAGTCCGCCAGCTCAAGTTCCCTGGTCCATTGGGCCCGAATGGCCTGCTGTCGTTCGCATTTTCTTCGCGAAACTGTTGTCGGAACGACTCTGTGACTGTTATCATGACATCCGCTACCCTCTGCATTGCCTCGTCTGCGTTTCGTGTCTCCCATGCTGTCGTCGGTGTGCGAGTAGTAAACGGTGAATGTGTGGTGCTTGAGTTGCTCATGTCGGTGTGTGTCAAGTACACGCATCTGTGACGACCGCGGCGTGGTGAAATATCGATATATGATGTTCAATTCTCGACTGAACGCTTCAATAAGGGCAACAACGCAAAGCTAATAGTCACGGACGGGTAGATGAAGGTATGAGAATAGAAAGCAACGCCAATACAAATGAAATGGTAAGATGGAGTAGAAGACGAGAAAGAGAGCAAAAAAGACCGTTTACCAATACAGATTAGTTGCAGGAAGTGCCTTGATAGATGAACACTTGCTTGCAGGGGCACGTAGACCAGTCTGAGATACAGACCACACAGGATCAGGTATTGAACGAGACACTTGCCCAACCTTGGTTACATTGGTAGCTCAAGCATTTCAACAAATTGGTGTCCACTTCAAGGCTTGAGCTACTGATTCCCAGTGGATGCTGACGATGGCTCTCGCAAGGGGGCTGGCGTAGGCAGTTATTATCCTTTGGTCCATGGTCATGGGCATGGGCCTTGATCAGGGCGCCGCAGCAGTCCACTGCCTCTCCGTGGTCCCCCGTCTCGAAGGACTGATTCGAGGCTGCTGGAGCTTGTCTAACAACAGTATCAGTGGCGCCAATGCTTCTTCATCTGAGCATCCGTATTTGCTACTCGAGGCAGACACGGTTGAGAGATCTTGATGCATGTCTCTCTTATTTCGGGGTGACCTTCGGCAATCGACATGCAAGATATGCATCTTGCCGGCACATTGAACTAACTTGCCAAGATTGACACTCGTCTTTGGATCGCACCAACAGCTGACGGGCACACAAGTCTGGCGCTGCGATATCGTACTACGTGACGACCTCCATCGGTTCGCCAGGACTATTGCTAGTGCCTAGTACCCACAATTACGGAAGACTGGTCATGAAGAGAGACACCGGAGGGTAACAGCAGGCAGACCAGTGAATAGACTTTTGATGTTCGGCAATATCTCGACTGCCTGGGGCATGTGTAGATAGACAATGTCGTAACAGGGACCCCGGCAAACAAGCAAGGCTGATGCGAAGGAGGATGGGGGACTGGCGCCAACGATGTAAATCATTCCCCACTTGTCAAAGAACCGCGCCACCAACAGAGATCCTTCGCAAACGCCCCAGGCCGCTCAAGGGAACTTTCGTGATACTACACGAAAGAGACCGAAGTCTTGGTCCAGTAAGACAAGTGCCACCGTATTAGCGGGTCTCAGATCAGAGTTAACAACGGTTCGTGCCAAGCTGACACAATGAACGAAGTCTGTCCGGACTTTGGGTCAGAGTTGTCAGAGAGAGCTGATGCGATATGAAATTCGAGGCTGAGTCGCGAGAAAGCGAAGTAACTATGAGTAGAAGGATGAGGGGGAAAAGGGACGACAGAAACGTCACCCTAGGGAAAACATGGCATTGGACTCTATCGTAATTATTCATAACGGCCGGTGTCTTCGTCAATCGTGTGCTCAAATTTCGAATTGCTCCCGTCGCATGTGGAATAGCTGGAATGAAAGGCGTTGGGATATTTTTGGAAATGACATTCCGTCAGAGACTCAGCCTCATTGCAGAAAGCTAACGACGGGGCTGCGGAGGCCGCTTAGACTCTCCATTCTTAACCGGATACCTAGGTAGGAGCCAAGCCACTCTTGATTTCATATTAACCAAATACTCGTCTTCTTTGCTCCGGCAAGCGAAACACGCGGCAAAGGCCGCGAGTATATCCGAACTGGCGACGCATTCAGAGGCGAAGGAAGTCATGCGCATCCACCGCTGATAACTTAGTAGTCTCATCTTTTTCCCAACGGAGAACTTGGTTTAGTCGCCTGCTAACCAAAATTCATACAACGCGATCTCATTACACCGCCATTCGGAATTTCGATCATCCCATTCGTTGACCGATGTTTTCAATTTTTAGTATTTGCTGTTTGCGCGGTCTACTGTTGTTGTTGTTGTTGTTGTTATTGTTGTCGCATTGCAATGATGTCTGGATTGAACTGAGAATAGGCGAGATGCGTATCCGACGCCAGGCAGCAAGGGCCAGAAAAGAGACCTGAAGAGATGGGTACTGGCCTCAGTTGTTCATCGATTTTGTTTCTAACGGAGATGATCAAACCCAAGTGGCTCGTCCTCAAGACCTTGAAGAGAAAATACACCAGAGGCCAGGAGACTTGCAACAGCTCTTGGCGGATATTGGGTCATGATCATCCACAACTGTCCAAAATTTTCAATCAAGACTTTTCTCTAATTTTTGGTTGACCACAGTGGATGATGTACATGTAGCCTCGAACCCCTATCGCCAGGCCCGATGAGAAAGCAAAGCAAACCCGAACGCCAGAGTCGTAGTCCAACAGATAAAACCCTCCCCTACTCAGACTTTGAAGCTGAAAACTCCAGTCATGGCCTACCGGCCTCCTCTGCTGAAACCACCCCGACCACGGCCGCCGCCGAAGCCACCACCTCCTCTCGGCGCACCGCGGCCACCACCGAAGCCACCGCCGCCGCGACCGCCTCCACGGCCACCGAAACCACTGCCACCACGACCTCTGGGAGCACCTCCGCGGCCGCCAAAGCCGCCACGGGGACCACCACGACCGCCTCTTGCCGGGCCACCACGGCCGGCACGCTTGACCTTGGGGGCACCTGGGGGAGGCTTCGGCTTAGGCAGGAACTTCTCCAATGGCAGGAGCTTCTCGGATCCGATGTAGAACTTGTCGCCCTCTTTGAAGGAAGTGGCCTGGATGCCCTCGGAGGGCTTAATGGTGAAGTAAACCTGGTTAATGGGTCCGAGGACTTCGTCGACCTTGCCAACGGCAGTCTACAAAAGAAGTTAGTCGAGTTTTTTTCCCTTCCTTTGGCTTACTCCGATAGAGGTATAAATCGACGGGAAATAGGTCGCACCTTGTTCTCGAGGAAGATCTGAGCGTTGAAGTGAGGAACCTTGGGGTTGATGCTCTCGCAGATCATCTCGCCTTCGCAAGCGTGCATGAACTTGCCCATCTCTATACAAAAAATGATGATTAGAATACTCTCGTGAGATAAAACGGCGAGAAGGCGAGAGAACATACCAAGAATGGTCGCGGGCGGGCCCATGTCTCTGTTCTGGAAGCCACCACGGCCTTTGAAGTTATGTTAGCATCGTATTGTAAATTCCGTCACCGAGCAGAGCCAATCTGCAAGTGCATTGGAATAATGAAATGCAAAGTTATTCCATACCTCCAAAACCGCCGCCGCCGCGACCACCGAAACCACCACCACCGCGACCGCGAGGAGCTCCTCGTCCGAATGACATGTTGATATGTGGATTGGCGGGTTGTCGTTCGGAGCTGCTCCTGTACTGAGTGCTTCGTGCTGCTATTGGAAAAAACGAAGCCAACGGGTAGCCGACAGAAAATTTCCCAGCGACCAAATTGTGGTGCAGGCCAATCGAGCTACCTCATTGGCCACAGCTGGCGGGTCGGAACAATCCCTTCCGGGTGACCCCGCCAAAATTTCCAATACCTAGCCAGCCACCAGCCCACCTGCCTGACTTGAGGGCCATTGGCGGGGTGGTGGGTGCTACTGCAGGGAGTGCGGGCCAGACACCACCAGAAAGTCGTCCGAACACCTTGTTTGACTCACCGTAGGCTTTGGCGGGGTTGCTTCGCCGTGTTTCGCCCAAATTTGTTGACACGAAAATCGATCTTCGTGTGCCTTCACTTTTCCAACCCTCACTCTTCTCACGCCCACCACGACCGCTAAATTGGACGACATTATGGATTCCGCGAAGCAGGCCGTCGAGGCCGTCACCGAAAGCGTCAAGAAGGTCGCCCTCAATAAGGACAAGGCGCCAAAGAAGGAGAAGAAGGCCAAGGATGCTGGCGATGCTTCGGCCGGACCCCTCGAGCTCAACCCTCCCCCCGATTTTCTCCAGAGGAGACTCGACCTTTTCGACAAGTTGAAGAAGGAGTACGATGAAGAACTCGCCAGCAGGCCACGCGAGGCCATCACCATCACCATGCCCGACGGCTCTATCCGTCAGGGCACCAGCTACGAGACGACCCCCGGCGAAATCGCGAAGAGCATCTCCAACAGCCTGTACAAGCGCACCGTTGTCGCAAGACTTGACGGTGATCAGAACCAGTTGTGGGACTTGGATAGACCTCTGGAGAAGAGCTGCAAATTGGAGTTGGTGAACTTTGACGACGAGCAGGGCAAGCAGGTCTTCTGGCACAGCTCCGCACACATTCTTGGCGAGGCTTGTGAGAGGAGATTCGGATGCTCTCTGTGCATCGGTCCCCCGGTCGATAACGGTTTCTACTACGAGATGGCGCTCCCCGGCGGCGCTTCTGTTCAGGCTAGCGACTGGAAGCCCCTCGAGTCCATTGTTGGATCGATTGTGAAGGAGAAGCAGAAGTTTGAGCGTCTCGAGCTTACCAAGGAGCAGCTGCTGGAGATGTTCAGCTACAACAAGTACAAGCAGCACATCATCAACGATAAGATTCCCGATGGTACCAAGACCACTGTTTACCGCAACGGTCCTTTGATCGATCTTTGCCGTGGACCCCACGTTCCCAGCACCGACCGTATCGAGGCTTTCAGCATCATGAAGAATAGTGCCTCTTACTTCCTCGGTAACCAGGAGAATGACTCTCTCCAGCGAGTCTATGGTGTCAGTTTCCCTAGCAAAAAGGAGCTGGCTGCGCACAAGAAGTGGCTTGAGGAGGCAGCTGCCCGTGATCACCGCAAGTTGGGCCAGGACCAGCAGCTCTTCTTCTTCCACGAGCTCTCCCCCGGCAGTGCCATGTGGCTGCCCCACGGTGCGCGTATCTACAACACCCTTCTGGCTTACATCAAGGAGCAATATTTCAAGCGCGACTACCACGAGGTCATCTCTCCCAACATGTACAACGCAGAGTTGTGGAAGATCAGTGGTCATTGGGACCACTACAAGGATGATATGTTCGTTCTCGATGTCGACAAAGAGAAGTTCGGCTTGAAGCCCATGAACTGCCCTGGTCACTGCCTTATGTTCGCTCACACCCCCAAGGCGTACCACCAGCTGCCGTGGCGTGTTGCTGACTTTGGAGTCCTCCACCGCAACGAGGCCAGCGGTGCCTTGTCCGGCCTCACCCGTGTGCGCAGGTTCCAGCAGGACGACGCTCACATCTTCTGCAGAGAGGATCAAATCAAGTCCGAGATCAGCAACTTGTTTGACTTCCTCAGTGAGATGTACGGCTTGCTTGGTTTCACCTTCAAGCTCCGACTTTCCACTCGCCCAGAGAAGTACTTGGGAGAGCTTGAGACATGGAACAGGGCTGAGGGCATGCTGAAGCAGGCACTTGACGAGTTCGCCGCCACAGAAGGCGGTGTGCCATGGACTATCAACGAGGGTGATGGTGCTTTCTACGGTCCCAAGATTGACATTAAGATCCTGGACGTCTTGAACCGTGAGTGGCAGTGCGCCACAATTCAGTTGGACTTCCAGCTTCCCCAGAGCTTTGGTCTTGAGTACGTCTCAGCGGAAGTCAACACCAAGCCAAAGGAAGAAGAGGCACCTGCCGCACCCAAGGTCCCCGAATTCAAGGCCAAGGATCCTCAAGCCGTTATCGACTCGGCTGCCGGCACTGGCGAGGAGGGAAAGGAGAAGAAGCGCGTCATCAAGCCTTTGACGAACGGCTGCCAGCGCCCTGTCATTATCCACCGTGCCATGGCTGGATCCATTGAGAGATTCACCGGTAAGAATTGCGGGTGGTATGTCGCTTGAGCAACGCTGACATTGATGTCCCAGGTATCCTCATCGAGCACTTTGCCGGAAAGTGGCCCTTCTGGCTCAGTCCTAGGCAGATCATGGTCATCCCTGTCGGTAAGGGCTTCGTCGAGTACGCCGAGGAAGTCCAAGCTACCTTCAAGAAGCAGGGCATGTGGGTGTAAGTAGTCTTCCGCTATCCGTTGCTATGTGGAATACATTCGCTGACTCGCCCTTTCTAGTGACGTCGACCTGTCCGGCAACACACTGCCCAAGAAGATTCGCAGCGCCCAGTTGAGGTACGTACCATAGACTGTGCTCCCATCTGGGGCAAGAAAGTGACTAACTTGCATAGTCAATACAACTTCATTTTTGTTGTTGGTGATGAGGAAATGAAGAACAAGCAGGTCAACATCCGCTACCGTGATGACACCTCAAGCCAGGACCGTGGCAAGCCCGTTGATGTCGCCGAGGCCGTTGAGAAGATCAAGAAGCTGCGCGAAGAACGCGGCACCTATAACCCATTCCCCTCCGTAGTGAAGCCCAAGGAGGACAAGGCATGAACGTGAGAGATGGAGCATGGCTTTTCATAACAAAATGAATTTTGAAGATGGTGTTTGGGTGGGTGGTGAGACATTTTCAACTTGTAGCCTAGACTAGAGGCACAAATCGTATCCATGGGTATGCCAAAACAAAATACGAAGAATCGAATTTCAAATAGTGTCAATAGACGATAATCGAGTGATAAGGGAGGCAAATACGTAAGAACTAGGGTATCATGCGTATTGTATTTTCGCGTGCGCGCTTAGATGTGTATCTCTGTGCTACAGACGTTCTTTTCCGCAGTCCAATTGACTGGTCGTTCCCGCACCGTAGTGTTCACCTCTGGCTTCGCCTCGTATAATTCTGCAGCGGAAGACCAGCTCTTGGTCCCAGTTCGTGTTCTTGCTGCGCAGGTAGATCTTTCGAAACCCCCTCTTGTTTCTTTATTTTTGGAACTCGTTCTGGGAGCGTAACAGGCCTCCAGAACTAGGAAGAACAGGCTCTCGCCCGCTTAGCTCGTTGTGTGACCGCAAACGTTGGGAGACGCGCCCTAAGGCTTAGGGATATGAATGCTCTTGCTGGTCATGAGGCATCCGTGAACCACGAACACAAGAGCAATGGGGTGAAATTCTAGTGCAGTTCCCGACAGCCACGTTCCGAGAGGAAGGTCCTGAAGAATCCAGCGCTGAGACACCAAGTACGCCATCACAGCGTCAAGGCCAAGACTGGTAGGGATGGGAGTGCCTTCGAAGTATTTGGATTTTCCAGTTGCGTCCTTGGGAAGAGCGGCGACAGTAACGTTGAAGCGAGCGAGGCGAGTGAGGCCGCAGAGGACAAAGAAGGTCAGGCAGAGGTGGTCGATGGGTGTGCGCAAGCCAAGGGCGAAGGCCACAGAGGCAGGAGCGACGCCGAAAGAGATCTGTGTCATGTATCAGCCGGGCTTGTTCTAACTCAATCCCGCCAGTAGAGACTCCGTCAATCTCTGCCAAGGGTCCTGGGTGTAGACCATCCACCCCGGATGAACGGATTTGTCGCTTGAAAACGTACCAGGTCAGCCAGAGAATCAAGCTCTTGGCCCATCATACCGCTCTTCTTTCTCCACCGCGCAACTTTACCGTCCATGAAGTCGAAGAAAAGGCCGAATGGCAGGAAGGAGAGGGCGAGGTACAGAGTGCTAGTGGACGAGGGATCGCCGAGACAGTAGCGCAGAGAGGTGAAAATTGACATGACACCACAAGCTCCTATTCCACAGCAAGTCAGCAGTGCTCTTGTTCTCAAACATCTCACAATGACCTTGCAGTGCATCCGGTCTCAAAAGACGCTTCTCGCTTGGAACAATGTGCGGAAGAAGCTGGGGATATGCGAGACCGTACCATTACAGAGGGTGATTGCGTCGGCGAGGTGGAGGGCGCGGATCAATGAAAAGTGACCAGGATCGGCCGCAAGAAGGAGATTCTGCTTATCGTGGGCTGCATTGAAAGCGACGCATTAGCTCGAGTCGCATCTGAAGAGGGTAGTGCGTGCAACATACCAGGCTCGGCGAAGCTATCAGCAGCGTCTTTGGCTACCTTGCCATTGGTGGCTACGCTGCTTGTCCGTTTCGACATGTTTGGTTGGGGGTTTCCCTGAGGCTAGGCTGTGTGGACTTTATAGACGTTGTCGGAGGAGAGAGACGGTGGATTCTTGTTGGTACAGCCGATCAATCTCGTGATTTTTTCCTGGCTCTTTTGGAAATCTCGACAGTGGACGTTAGAGGGACGAAGCACGAGAGGAGGTATGAAAGCGGAGAGAAGAGAGGTTGAGAGGATTGAGATGGTTTTTGCACGCAGTTTCGTGGAGTAGGAGGCAGGTGTAGGAAGAAGTAAGAATGGAGGTGCTGGGCAAGCAAGGTAGGTAGGTAGGTAGGCATGAGGTAAGTCGGTCACACTCTTCCGCCTCAAAGCCAACTAGGATAGCTGGGGAAGGCACATGCCGTCATAGCCCTGTCGTTCTAGACCTGAAGTCGACTAGCGGGGAAGCTGGTCCAGCTCACGAGGTCCCGTGCACGTGATTTACTGCATGGCGTATAACATTGCACGGCGGTCCAGGCACCGCCAACAACTGGGAAATCTTGGCACGGGCATCATATTGGCATATGCCAGCCACATGGGGGCCACCCACGTACCTTTCCTTGGGGTAAGCTACCTCAAGGGACAACACCTTTTTGGCCAACTACATTTTTGGCAGGTTTCTTTACAGAAGGTTAATGCCCATGTCGTACGTGCCGCTTCGAGGTCTAAGCTTCATGTATGTAGCCGTGTATTCATTTCGTGTATTATTTACAACGACGATGCAGATCACTTGTTCATCTGCTGTGAAAACCACCTTCGCTTGTTGCGTCGGAGTGGCCACCCAACCCAATTCACCGTGTCCCATGCGTAGTCTTGTCCATTTCCAAGGCATCCCGTCTGCTCGGTATTCCTAGGCCGGTATCCCCTTCATTTGATGCTCGCCATCCAGAGATAGCGTGCCATAGTTTGGGATGGAATACTCCAGCATAAGACGGCTGTCTTGGCGTGCTTCGCCAGGAAGCTGTAGCAAAGACGCGCAATTTCCATCATGGATTTTGGACGAGCCAGGAAACCATGCCACATAGATGATGGCACTGGTGCTCCCATTCTGCCTCCTATTTCGTAAATACTATTAAGTTTTATCTCCAGCTGCCGCTCGTAAGAATGACAGAAACGCCACTGATTTCCTTTATCGAACAATGAGGATCGAAAATCCGTCGACCCAGGCGCCACAGGAACCTGCCACACCGCAAATGGTGTATCCTCTTGGGGGTATCATAGTATGTCTGTCGGGATGATCAGCAACAACCGACGATTAAATGGAAATTGCTTTTTCCTAGACTTACGTAGATCCGCCCTGAGCATTGCCAAATATAGGCGACCGTCTGCCCAAGCTCGTGAGGACCTGAATTGCATCAATCCAAGCACCCGAGCGGACGTAAAAGCCTGAGATGTATTCACCCCGGCGAATATCTAATGGGTATTTGTTAGTTCATAAGCTTTGCTTGGTCCAGGCAGAAAGGACGTACCAAAATCGAACGCATCGCCACCCTCTTTACCTCCCCGCTTCCCAAATAATTGCGTTGTGTCGTCGTCGTAAACGAATTCCATGCCGTCTACTGCGTATCCATGGTAGAAGATGATGCGGGAGAGCACTCGGTTCTGTTTTCCGCCGCTCTCAAAAATGATTTCCTGTGGTTCAGTGCCATCCATGGCTGAGTTGCCCAGAGGCTTGCCTCTGTAGGCTGTCTTGCCGAGCGGACCAGGTGTCAGTTTGAAAGAAGACTCTTTGGAGCACAGCTTTTTGAAATCGTCGATATCCAAGGAACCACCGCCATGCGATTTGACCGACACCCTAAGCCGCCCCTTCCGCTTGTTCTCTGGGAGCTTCTCGCGTAGCTCGCGGTCGTTCAGAGTTAGTTGACGTTGTACCGAACTGTTTTCGAGGGGGTATTCAATCCATTTTCGGCAGAGATCATCGTCCTCTGCGAATAGCTCGATAAACGCGATTCCAGTCGCCGCCATTACGACCACGTTTCCACTCTCAACTGGGAAAGCATGGACGCTGTCGTCAGCGTTCATGGGGGGATCGTTTGGCAACCTGAAGCAGGGATGGGCGCGGAAACGTAAGCAATCAAGGCGGTGCCAACCGCACTCGTCGTCTTGAAGAACCAGGCCCCCCTTGGACTTGGTCCTTGTGCAAAATGCCTCGCGGGTCACGAAGCTGCGATTGAGTGTCAGGTAGTCGCGGAGCATCACACCAGATTCCTGATGAGGACATCCAAATAGGTGACCTGTCTCGTGCAGATGAGCACCAATCCCGATGTTCGCTGCCTCCCAAGAGCTGCCAGCCTGGTTGCAGTCGTTGGCGACATAGGTGAGGTCAGTCGGAGTGCAATCCGTAAATGCAGGGACGACTTCTTCGAAACTCGTGGGATAGCTTTGCAGGCAATGGGACCCGAAAATGGCCAGGTGCAGATCGCCTGCATTACCGCCCAGCGCCGCGTGACCCCTTACAACATTCGCCTCCTTGTCCCATTGCGTATCGAGCATCAGCACGGAAACGTACTGCTTTTGACCACCTAGTGGCCTAAAGTATTGTTTCACCGCCTCAGCAGCTATTTCGTATAGGTCCCCCTTCTTGCTCGCCTTCTCATTCTGCTGCGCCAGCTCGAGATCTCTAAGTTCAGCGACTGTCTTGTCTGACCTGATGATATGGATCCTGGCCTCGGAGCGCAAGTTTCCGTTCTCTCGATCTCGTTGGTTCGATGTGCCGGCGGTCCATTCCTCCTCAAACCTGAAGACACGACGTCCAAGTTTGTTTCGCCACATTTGCTCAGCTGTAAAGGCTTGCCAGAGGTAAGCGGCCATTCGGAATTTGCGGACTGCCGTCTCCAAATCATTGCCCTCTCGCTCGATCCTTGTAGGCACCGCATCGAAAGTCTCGGGAGAATCCTTGGCAACCACGATAGCGAGCTGCAGCGGAGGTGCATTATTCGCCGGCAACATGTGAATCGTCAAGTAGGATGCGTGAATTGGATTAGATGACGAGCTGTTGGGTAACTTTGGACTTGAGAAGTCGAAGCGGATCTTGTTTGGGCCTGGCTGTAGGTAGACGAGGGCCTTGAAATTGGAGTTGCATGCGGGCCAACATGTTGGTGGAAAGTTGTCGTCGAGTCGGGTTACCGAAACAGTGCCATCGAGAGAGTGCTGCGAGGAGTCGCCAATAGTCCCGTGTACAAGGAGAACCTTTTGGTATACCTTGTCAAATATTAGCAAAGCGCTCGGAAGCTGCGGCTAGAAGTTGGTGGCCGCGGCTGCGGATGTCTGTGGCTGACCGTCTGAGCGAAGCCGCCAAGAGCATGATTGGAGAAGCGAAGGTGATACCACACGGGGCCACGGCCCATGCATATGATTGAGATGACTTACCCAGGCATTGTCGGTGATATTTGCAATTCGGGGCGCATATTGAGAAACTGGCAATGCCGATTTCCCGCCCACAACAGGAGAACCGAGGCCTGCCATACCAGAGACGCTGTGTCGGTGGGAATTGGGGACGGGTTGCAGCGGCGGGCGAGCTTGAGGATTACCCCCATTGGAGTCCTTCACTTGGAGATCGAGAGCAGAATCGGAGGCTTGAGCCATGGATGGTGGGGTCGAGGCACCGCTTGTGGCAGTGGGAGTGGTCATGTTGCTGGCATCGCTAGAAACGTCGGTGTTTGAGCGGTCGGTCTTGAAGCTGGCTTTCGAACGACGCCGAAGTCCTCTGAAGTTGAGAATGGACGGAGCCATTGTGCCTCATAGAGCATGCGACGGCTCAACCGCAAACGAGTGATAGCTTCAGCAGGAGGTGTTTTGGCATGTGCAGCGTCCTGGAGGAGCAGATGATGCAAGTTGCAAGAGTCGGGTTCGGGTCCAACGGAGGGAGGAGCACAGAGCTGAGTTGGGTTTGTCTGAACGAGCAGAGGTAGATAGGAAGGTAGGTTATCGAAGACAGGGAGAATCCCAACGGCAGTAGAACCCGGACGGGGGAGGGTGCTTCGAATCGTGTCACTGATCAGCGAGTGGTATCTGCAACGAGTGTGTGTTCTTTGCAGAATGGTCGACGTTTGAAAGTAGGCGACGTGGGCGGATCTGCAGGAGTGCGGCTGCGATGAAGGACACTTGACAAGCAGCAGCAGATGCGAGAAGGTAGAATTGGCAGCGCAACAGGAGAGCAAGCAAAAAAGGAAGAAGAAAAAAGGGCGCAAGTGGTCTGCAGGGAAAGTAGGGGAACAGACCCAGGATGGGATGAGAGAGGGCGGGATGAGAGATGGGATGATGGGGGGGAAGCTTGGGAAAGAACTTCAGAGCCAGAGGTGACCAAAAAAAGTTGTCCAACAATTGGAAGTGTGCAAGTGTGCAATACCGACCGGTCTCCATACTGCGTACCTCCATGCAATATCCAAGGTCCGGACGCTTGCTCCAGAAGGAGTGAGGTGTGGTCCAGTTGGTGTCCACGTCTACGTCCACACTTCACGTCTCACGGCCCGGCTTGACAAGCGTATCCGTAGTCTTGATGCCGTCTCCATTTAAGAGCCGACAGATGCAGCTAGACATGGAGCGAAATCCAGATTTGCGCGTCCAAAGAGGGACAGCATATGGATGCGCTGTAGGCAGGTACACTAGCATAGTACGAACGGGTGCGCAAATTGAGGTGCAGCACAACGGCAGGACCCATGTCGAGATTTGCCTGTGGATTCGACGATTCGTACATACATTTGCATAAGAGCCCTGCTAACAAGCCAGGTAAGGTAGGCATGCTGGTCGGCAGATAACCGGCAGCAAGTTCGTCGATGACGTTGCGGTGTTTCGAGAGTGGGAAACATGAGTACGAATTGAGATTGCGACCGGGGGTTTGGTTGACCAGGAAAATGGAGTTTAAAAAAATAAAAATAAAAAAACCAAGACTGGGCAAGGAGATGGGCTCCAGTGTCCCGACCTCGAAATTGCGAGATAACGAACGTTGAAACTCTCATTGACAGATCAGCGTACTCTGTGCCTACGCGCTTGATGTCCACCTAGATAGTAGCTATCTAGGTAGCTGAGGCAATGTAGGTCTATGTCGATCCCTTTTCGGAGTACGCAGATAGCCATTGCCATTTCTCCTTGCTAATCCCGCTCAATTCCATGCACCTTCCTTCATGTCGTTCTCGGTGTCCGTACGAAGCACGCGTACAGCTGTCGCATCGCATTCAAGTTTCTCACATCCACATTGATAAAGGCCCAGCCAACGGAAGTGGGGGGGCGACTGCCAATGAGATTTGTATTTGGAGGCTAGCGTCATGGCCTTCGTCAACACCACGCAAACAAGTGCGGCTAGCAAGAAACCAATAGTACCTTAAGTACATACAAGTTACTCAAGCAGCCTACCTAGGTGTGGTACGTGTCTGTATCCATACTTTCACACCAGGTTCCCGAACCTGATGGTGGCTGATTATCTGCAGGCTCACGGCTGTGGCTGTGCTACCTTACCTTCCAGTTTCCCACCTTTCAGTAGTGCGTGCCTATCAGCATGGATGATGACAGGGCAGCCAGCCAGGCCCGGGCGGCAAGGAGTCAAGGACCAGGGGTTGAGGCGTGGGCGCCGAACCGATGGATCCACCTGTCGAAATGGAAAGGTGTGATCGAGATGAGGAATTCAGTCACCACCACTGACCAGTCACCACCTTACCATCGCCTTCGCGACATGCTGCACACCTCCAGGCTCTAGCACGGCAAGGTACGGATGGGCAGCCACTGGGAGCTAACATACCTATTCAAATCTTATCTTGGCTCGGTGGCCGATGCCTTGTTCGACTTAGTTGGAGTTATACTGTGTAACAGTACTGTTCTCGATCCGCACCTTGGGTGCTTGGCAGCTCGATTTCTTAATAACGAGATACAGCGTTTGGATCTGTCTCTCGGTGGCCGCATGTCCGTTGCCCGCCGACCAACGTGGCACTCCAGAATTTGCGTGTCGCCCTCTGTAATTATTCCATCCACCTTCCTTGTTTGCAGATTCTATCACCGAGCAGCCGGTAAGGAGAACACTGATTGCTTCTGCAGTCCTGGCAAGAACGTATGGCTCCAATCTGTGTCTGCGAGAGTTCCTCTTCTCTTTAGTGCGCCCCAATTCCGTTGGGTCGACGGCAAAGATCAACTGTCATGGTCGGTGGTGGCTTCGGGTACCTGACAATACCTACCCACTAGCCGTGCCGTGCCGATTGCCATTGACTGTCGACTCCGACTCACGTCGCCCGCAAGCCCACCGTGTGGCCCATTGGTTTTATTTTTGGCCAAAGTGGGCAATCACGGGAGGGGGAGAGAGGGAGAGGGAGCCGTGCTGTACGGAGTATCAGTGGTTTCCCCGATACTAAGAAACCGGTTGAAAGTCTTTCCTGTTTGTCTGAAATTTCTTGGTAGTGTCCCCCTGTCAGGCGTATACCGCAGCTAGACTGCTTCCTCCCTGCACCATCCTGCACATCTGCATGCTACGTAGTCTTATCGCCCAAGGGACAATAGGATCCGGATGGGCACTTTCCCATCCGTGGATACCTTACACACTTAGGTATTGAATTGCTTGCGGCGACTATCCGTTTATCCATACTCTGCCCTGGGTATGATGGACAAATAAACACACGCAACTAGGTCCTAGCATCCTTAGTTTGTGGATATTCGCATAAAGAGATCCGATTATCCGTCTTATTCGTAGAGTGACAGAGTAATTACGTACCCGTCTTGGATTACGCACATGCCTCGATCTCCAATTATCTCCACCCACAGGAAGGCATACCATACGGAATCAGGTCCGTCAGGCGTTCGTATTCTCATGATCGGCAAACGGGGTGCTGCCGCATGGGCATTCTCCCTCTTGATCCTGCAAGCAAGCATGAGAAAGCCATGCGTGTTCTCCAATCGCAGCATTCAGCAAAGAAGATGATGCACTTGACGACGTCTACCATCAAGACCGACCCATTTTCTTGATGCTTTCTGTAGGTAGGCTACGAGTATCAAAGGTACGGATACCGAGTAATTGAATAATATGTTGGCTGATGTGGGTCTAGACATCCAGAGAGAAGGAAACGCTGGTGAGCTGAGACTGGCTTCTGACAGTTGCTTCTCGATGACATCCAGCTCACCCTCCAAGACTTGCTCATTTTCACCCCGCGAGGCGCTTGTTGGTCCCTCGAGACCCGAACAACCAACCACGCTTGTCTCAAGATGGTGTCGTAAACTGGGTGGCAGGGAGAGGTTGACGAGCCTCCGCGTGGGTTGCAGAGTGAACTCACTTCGCTAGCTTGCGCGTGGGTAGGCGCCCAAGGAGCTGTTAGCATCGACAGGGGTCTTAATTGATTTTTCCTTCCTGCCCCTGGACTCCGAGAGCACTGGGGAAATGACCACCTATTTTGACCACGGGCACCTTACGAATAAGGTAGAGGATGCCCTCTTCGGCACATGGACACCTCTCTTGCATGCTCTTCCCGCACATGTGATTGGTAGATGAGTGCCCTGCCAACGGTATCTAGTGTGAAAGGAATCTCACAGGCTGGAATGCTGGACAGTGTCATGTCCATACAAGGTCTGGGACGCGTCGACGTTTCCAGTGACATTCATTCCAGTGACCACGGCTTGCGGAAACTCACTCTTACGGCCAACACGAACACGGTACACCGAATCTTAAGTCTTCCGTAGTGTTCGTATGTCAGGACGGATCAACAGGAGACGGAGTAAGTTCTTGTGAGGAGTATGGCGCATGCTTGCTGTCTTATTTAGTCGAGCCTTTGACGGTGATTGCGCACTACTCCGTACATGACCAATGCGTCAGAAATGGTTGCAGTACAACGGCGTTGAAACGAGCTTTTCGAGGAGCCAGAAAAAGCGAGCATCAGTCCGGTTGGCGACAATTTCCAGCAAGCTTAAAGGTACGAGAAGCATGAGGTCAGCAACGAGGACGAAAGGTTCTTTGGTCCCGCCCTCGCCTCAGTTGCCGTGACAAGTGCAAGTTAGATGAGCAAACCCGCTGTTGGGGAAGCTGGGATCCGTTTTTGGTAAGGCGTTTCTGATCCGCGCCGTCGCTTCTGCCCGGGCCTCGACGAGGGATACCTTAGTTGCTTGGGAAGTCTTAGAAACGCAGTACTTCGTATGTGAGCTGAGCATGGCCCCCCTCCTCTGAAGGAGCCAACACCTCACTCCGGCTGGTCTTGAGAGCGGGTAGCGTAGTGGAGGCTATCGACACTCAGCTTTACGGGGGTCCTCTTGCCTAACCTGCACTTATCAACAGCATTTCTATTACCTGCAGATCAAGATCGATTGCAAATATCCAAAGCAAGATACGGATGAAATGCCTCGTCAATAAGGTGCCTTACCTTACCTTACCTTGAGGTACCAAAGGATAGGAACGGGCAGGTCCGGGCGAGCTCACGAAACAGGACAGCGGGTGGTACCTTCCAGAGCCAAAGTCGGCTGATGGCAGGTAAAGGTAAAGCCTTAGGGGGGGGGGGGGCGCGTTTGGGGGCGTTTGGCGCTTCAGGTCGTTTCCATGTCAATGGGACGGGAAACCTGCCTGGACTGAGGTGCAAACTCAGAGGGACCCAGAGGCAGGTGGCCCACGAGTCTGGTCGGGTCCAGTGGGCTGTAGGTGAATTTTGCTTCCCGTCTGGGTCCTCCATCCGCTGAGACCGGGCCACTCACTGCGCTACGTTTGCCAGCTGACCTGGTGGAAACACCACTCAATCCGAACTTTCCTCTTTCTCCCCGTTCAGCCAGGTTCTTTCGTTGTCATTCTCCTCCATCGCAAAATCTCGACAACGCAGTGCATGACTTCGATTTGGGACAAGTTCCTGCTCCTGACCTTGATTCCACCTTTCCTTGAGAACACACACATACACCCTTTTCTTTCTCTGCTGTTACATAGACTCCCTCCTCCTACGCATTCCAGAAGAACAATTCAACCCCTCATCCACCATTCCTTTGACCGTTGGTTGCTACGGGCTTCTCAAGGTCTCACCCCCCAGGTCAACGATCGGACCTTTGGACTGGACTCCCGTCACCCAGTATCCTCCTTTCCCCCGCTTTCACTATAGCAGGCGGCCTACGACGGCTACGACACTTCACTTCCCTACTCTCTACCCTCGGATCGCATCGACTAGAGAAGAAGGGCCTGTTCTTATCCAACAGCATCATCACAATCCACGAGATACTGCATGCCCTACCTCGAAGTCATGTCTTCTGTGTGGAAGCAACAACCTGAAGAGGTGGCGGACAAGGTCTTGAAGAGGGTGGAAGTGAGCAAGGTATGTCGACAAAGGGCCGTAACCTAGGCCGCAACGCACCTCACAAAGCAACATGTCGCTGATACTGACAATCTTGCAGATAGCCCGAAGACTACAGAACCGACTCGCGCTCGCCCAATTCAAAACCAAGCATGGCTGGGAAGACCTGACACTCGATACCATCGAACCAAAGTATGAGGAGGAACTGCGACGGAAGCGTTTAGCCGAGGGAGACCTCTTGTCCGACTCCTCTTCGAGCGCCTCCGACCTTCCATATCCCACAAGAGCCCTTATGAGCTCTCCTCTGAAAGCTCCCCTCTTTTCCGACGCCATCGGCTCCAGCAACGGGAGCACCGGCCATCGCAAGCGCACCTACATGGCATCTTTCGATTGTCCATCGTCTAGCCCAAGCAAACGCTATCGCTCTTCCCCTACTCCCATCAAGTCGCTGCACGGTCATACTTCGTGGAAAGAGAGTCATCAGCTTGCGCAGTCATCTCCGATTAAGCCTAGAAGACAGCAGCACTTCACCACATCCACTGGCCCCGATGTTTCATTCTTTCAGGGGGCTCGAAGACTAGCAGACGACCTGGTATCGCCAAACTTTGCGGCAGCCTCGGATGACGAAGACGATCTCTTGCCCGTGCAGTCATTCAGGGCCACAAATATTCGGTCTTCTCCCCCTACAACACCACCAATGCGCAATCGAGTCTTGCCGAATCGTCGTACTAGAGACCAAGGCGCCAACGGTGAACCCGTCAAATCTGGTCAAGAAGGCGCCGACCTTCTGCTGTACCTGGCTGCCTCTCCGTCACCCGCCGTCCCATCTACCAAGACAAGGATGGAGCCTCCTTCGACGCCTCCTTCCAAGGTCAGTCGAGATATGACTTTACCTTCTTCACACATGACCACCCCAGGTGGCGGCAATATGTTCCCCAATACGCCCGGACAAGGCTTCGACTTTGCAGATTTTGTCAACATCACGCCGAGTCCTGCTCAAAAGGCATGGAAGACACCCGTCGCCCTGTCCTCGGCGAGGACTCCCGTCAGTCTAGCCAGGAGACGATTGACATTTGATGAGCCCCTGGCTTGATATGAGATGTCCCACAGACGCGTCTCGTGGCTCTCTCCTCGTCGTCATTATCACCAACACTATACTTTTGAATGATACCAAATGCTGGCCATGATGGTCCGGCATAACATACGCAAAAACCGGAGATGTTACCCAGTCTCTTTCCGCAATTAATTTCACGAGGGACGAGAATAGCTTCATTGTAAGCAACACCGCCAATTTCTCGACAAGGAGACGGTAATACGAAAATATTCCTTTTGAGCCATTGATATTCATTTCACGCGTGGGGCCACGCAAGGGACCAGAGGCGTTGAGAGCGCTAAATCGGAATGAGTGTGAGGCAATTGTATGTTCCTGGCTCAGCAAATGCTTCACATGTAGAAGCTTGTTTCCTGTGTCTTTTTAACCAATTCTTTTTGTAACTTCATCGTTTGCTTAGCAATGGATCCAAAAGGCCCCCAGTTGGGTCTCGTGGTCCGTGTGGCATTCAACGCGTCCTGGGATGCGACGCGTTGAAAGCTTGGAAGAGTTGCGCGTAAGACGCGCGTGGGTCGCGTCTCGAGTTAAATGGACAAGCAGCCAATCAAAACATATCTCAGCCCCATAACGGCAAGTTCTCCTTCATCGTGTGTGGCCGTGTAACGTCGAACGGTCTGGTGATGCTCACACCCTGCATCCAACCTTTCAACATCGGTCGGGTCTCGAAGTAAGGAAGCGCATTGATTATGTGCGGTTTATGCTGGTCTGGAAGTAAAAGACTTGTCAACTACGTATCTTAGGTAGTGATGTATGAAGGTACTGCAATCGTAAGGAAAGACGGGCTGAGGTCACGAAATGATCACATATGGTCATACATAGGCTAGGCACAACCCACCAGTGCTCCCCTTGATCCCCTCGTCGTCATATTATCACTTGGCGCTTGTAAGCGGTTCATTTAACGGTTTCTCATCTTGCATATTTCCAGAAAGACGTTATCTTTGCATTCCCATGAAATCAAGGATTCCTCGCTGGACGCCTGCTGGGCTTGGCTCTTCGGCACAAACATCTGGGTACAAGTTGAACGTTCGTCTTAGAAAGTCCCTCGTCGTCGGGCCGATCGTTGCAATGAACGTTTTGCGTCCCTCGAGCCCGTCCTTCTTGACCTTTCCCGTGGACTCATCTAGCATCCCCAGCCCACGCAGCATGCCTTCGCAGCCAGTCGGGGAGAAGACAACCACCCACCGCGTCGGCCGGTCCTCGGTGTCCTTCAGGTGTTTCTCAAAGTCCTGAGGAAAAGATTCCATGACACCCGTGCCGTAGACCACGACCTCGTCCACCTGGGTCCTCTTTTCGCTGGGCAAAGTGGTGTCCATGAGGGTTTTTGGGATGATATCCCGTCTCTGCTCGCCAACGAGGAAGAGCAGCGGTGGCTTTGTCGGCCGGTCTTGGTACCATTGGCCGTAGTGTTTCAAAATGTACTTGGCCAAGGCATCGCCATTGCCCGTGTGCTCGCCGAATATTTGCAACGGGGTGTGCTGTGAGACCGACTGGAGAGCTCGTGTGGTGGCAGGGCCAACGCTGTAGACTGGTACGTTTTGGAGATGAGGCCAGTCTTCTTCAGTGCCTATCAATCTGGTCAGCTCTGCCCTTCTTACGATCAAAGGGTTCTAAGCCTATGGTACGGGTGTAAATGAGACGGACCCTTTTTCTCATCTACCAGGCTGGCAAACGCCTCTACCGCTCGCTGCGAGGTGAAAATGAGACCGCCGTAAGAGGCGTCAGTGCCGGCATTGATCCCACGTTGCTGCAAGACGTGCCTGACCGTCGCCATGCCCTGCTCCTGAAAGGTGTGGTGCAGGACGGGGACGAAAGCTGGTTCAAAGGCACGCCCGTCACTTTCGCGTGAGAGCAGGTCCTCATACGAGTCGCCTGGGGTTGACTTTGTCTTGAGCAGCAGAACGGGCACCTTGACTGCTGGAGCTAATGAGGGGTTCTGAGCCATGGCGAATGTCTTTGCGGACCGCTGTGTCGTGATGAGTAAGGCAAATAAGTCAGAATACTCAGACGTTTCAAAGTCAATGGATGGAATATCAAATCAATAGTGGCTGACGACTTCCCGCTCAACTGCGCACTTGGGAAGTTGACTTTGTCGTCATAATGGTAATCGCACTGAACGGCGGTGCCCCACCGCGGGCGACTTTGTGAATTTGGGCAGGCGGAGCTGGATTAAGGTAGAGTTACAGTACGTACTGTCTTAGGTAAGTCCGTGGCAGTTCACTTACACGACTCTCTTCGAGCGACTCGCCTTCATCGCCATTGTCAATTTCGAGGCGGATGTCAAGTTCAAAGTATCAAGGTCAATACTCTGTTGAAGCACCAGGGCCACCTGGAGTCCTGGACGAGTTCTTCGTGTTAGATATGCGAAACACAGTGAAGTTGATGAGATTCTTCGCTCAGGGGATAAAAATGGGGGTTTTCGGATAATACCAGACACATGGCCTGCTCCCGAGTCGCAACGAGTAGATAGAGACCCGGTTGCTAGTCCAGGTGAAACTACTCGTACCTGATCACGGATACTTCTGCAAGAACTCCCGGGTTATGGACGCATTTCGACGGTCCGAAAAGACAGCAGTCAGGGTGACCAAATGGGTTGACCTTGCACGACTGCCATGCGGCTCAGGGACAAGAAACACCCCACCTCATCTCTTTGGTACCTTGCGGATGGCGTGGGATCGATTGAGCAGCGGATCCTCCGGTAAGACACCGATTGCAGCATCCGTAAACCATGAGACTCCCGCCTCACACTACACCAAACCAGGACGGTAAAACAAACCAAACCGAACCGAACCTCAATTGCAGATTCTGGGTACGTCGAAGGTCTCCCGGCGCTTGCCGACGGGACCCGGCATCCCGTCATCTCGTCATCAGTTCGGAATTTCAGATCGAAAATAGTGCCTTCCTGGTTGCAATCTTGGTACCTTACTTTTAGTGAGGTGTGGTAGCTTATCGATAACGGTCCGCCATGAACATTCTTACCTACCTTACCTTGAGGTAGTGACGAAGTCCTTCAGCTTACAAATTCCTCCCAACCAAAATTCGAAGACTGTCCGACATCGCGCGCTCTTGGGTAGATCACCCCATTCAAAGTCCCTTGTCGCATCCAATCTATTTCTATAGGGCCCGTCGACACTAGTCTCGCTTCTCGCGACAAGGGCGAAGTTCTCGTGCAGCATTATCGCCATGGCCGACGCCGAGCGAGACCCTCAATTAAGCAGCGCCACAGCCCCCGCGGCGACGGCGGCAGCTGAGCAGCCCAAGCCTTTACCAAAGGGAATGGTCTTGGGCCCAGATGGCAAACCGTAAGTTCCCATAACTATCTTGACGGTAATCTGACGGCGTTGATCCGATCCGACGGTGCTTCCTCACCGGAGATACAGCTGACATGGGTCATCTTTAGATGTCGGTCTTGCTCGTCCAAGAGCGCTTTTTCGAGCTGGGCTTCTCAGATGAACGGCTCGGTCAAGAAACCAACTCCGGTGGCCTCGACGCCTGTCGATGACTGCCCCCCGGATGTCGAGGCCCTCGGACGAGGCACTTGGCAACTGCTACACTCGATCGCCGCGACGTACCCCGAAAAGCCCTCCCCTAGCCAGAAAGACGACCTCCGAGGTTTCATGAGACTATTTTCCAAGCTGTACCCCTGCTGGGTGTGCGCCGAAGATTTCCAGTCGTACATACAAAAAGAACAGATTCGAGTGGAGGGGCGGAGCGAGTTTGGAAACTGGCTGTGCGAGGCGCATAACGAGGTCAATCGGAAGCTGGGCAAAAAGGAGTTTGACTGCAGCAAATGGGAAGAGCGATGGCGGACGGGTTGGAAAGACGGCCGTTGCGATTGAAAGCGGCGCGGGTCGAATTGTATAAATGTGTACAAAACAAGACGAACAACGGCGATAGGCACACGCGGCAGTATCGCAAAAACGGTCAAGGGCGTTAAACTTTGATAGACGATGCTACTCACCCAGTGGCAGCAGAGCAAGGCAGAATGCCGAGCCACATGTAGAATACTATATCCTCCACATAGAACAAAAGTGAAGCAAGCAGACTACATATCTGTAAAGCTTTGCCCAGATTGTATTGCGTGTGAGCATTTACTGCCTACTTGCCAAGGTTTGGGTGTTGTTGCTTGCAGTTGGTTGAGGTGAAGAATGACAGATTCCTGTCTTCCTAGACCCTTATGCATGCAGATCTTCGTCATGCTTTTCCCATTGGCCATTGCTGATCCTCGGTAAAGAACATGATCTGATATTTGCAGGATTTTTTCCACGCAAGAGAATGGGCCAGTGGCAGAGCTGAACTGTCAAGCTGATGGCTGATCAAGTTTCTCGTTGGGGGAACTTGCCCTCAAAACTCGGAGAAGAGGTCAGTCGTTCTCTTCGGCCGCCCTCAGGTTCGGGGGTGAGGCGCAAGCGATTCGTTCGAATGGAACCGCGATATAATTCGGTCTTCGAGCGGCGGTCCGAAGTCGAGCGTAGCGGGTCCCGGGCCCGGCTCCGCAGCTGACAGGCGCACGATGGTTGATGTGCTTTCATTGCGGTTTATTGGGCCGTTGCGCCGTAGCAGGGCCGATAGGCTGGGGCCAACATCAGATCATGTCGAATGGTGCGCCTCTCCCCTTCCCGCCCCCGTTTGCGCACGACGACAACAGGAAGGGGCGGTCAGGGAAACCCGGAAGCGAGGTAATACCCCCCCATGGAACTGTCTTAGTCGTAATAGTGCATTGCCGCTGATCCATGAGGCCTCAAGCTTATGTTATGGTCTTATGTTGGCTCAAAGCAGGATGCGAACGTTCCAAGTCTGGCAACAAGGTGAATTCGTACGGATAAGGAGCGTGGGGGGGTGGGAAACAGGAGGGAGGGCACGCCGCAGGATCCCGACAAGGTGGATGCAGATCCCGCCCTGTCAACGGTTGCGTACCTTGCCAAGTTGCCAGCCGGGCAGCGGGCTTCCATTGCCTCACACTCACAGGCACGCAGGGGACAAGGGTTGGTTGGCCCTGACGTGTTCTAGGCCTTATGCTGCCCAGAACTGTCACTTTTCCAGAGGGCCCAAACCACAAACCACGTACGGAGATGGATGCTCAGGACGGATACGTTCACTTTCTTCCCTGTTCTGCCCTGAACGCGGGCAACTCTATTATCGTCCCATTCCATTGTCTCACTATTAGTAGAAGGTTGCCTTACGTCGAACAGTGACAGGGTACCATAACAAATCCTTTTTTCCCTCAGATATCTGGGACCTCACCTCACCTCACCTCACCTCCGGAACCCACCGGCCTAGTCCGGCCTGAGCCCGGTGAATTGGTGACCGCAACCTCCTGTGGCGTGTTCAATTACATCACCCACTGTTGACTGAGTCTCCTTACTCGGTGCAACGGATCATCGCCTGCTCCCCTTCTACTCTATTCTGAGCCGCACCACGATGGGTAACAACGCTACTATCTCGCCTGTCTGGTGCCAGGACCCAATCTTGGTCCCCTTTGACCCAAATCTTGATCGAGCCCGTCGCATGCCGAGACCCGGTATCCACTGCCTGCGCTTCAGCCGCCTTGCTGGCTCTTAGTATCTTGTCACTTATTGTCACTTATACGAAAATGGAGCTACATGAGCTGTCGCCCATCGCCGATGGCCCTGTCGTTTCAATCTGCAATGGCCAGTGGTCTGACTTGACGATCCTGGCCGACCCATGCAATGATGCCGAGACTCGAGTGAGTCCGAGTCCGACTGAGAACATCAACAGTATCGCCATCTCCACAGGTCGTTGAATTTGATATAAGTCTATACGCCTCTGGCCTTGGCTGGTAACCTATTTCTCCTTCTTCATTCCAGCTCTACATAGACGAACACTTCTCCAATATACATTCGAGGTAGCATCCAGAGCTACCCCTCACACACCATCAGCTACTCACACACACACACACACACATTCGATCATGGCTGATATCAGAACCCAAGGGCTCATAGAGCCTGTCGACGTCGTCGAATACCTTTTCAAGAGGCTTCATGAGGTCGGTGTCCGCTCCGTCCACGGCCTTCCCGGTGACTTCAACCTCGTTGCCCTCGACTATCTTCCCCAGTGCGGCTTGAAATGGGTTGGTAACGTCAACGAGCTCAACGCCGGTAAGTTAACCCTCCCTTCCCTTACAACCTACCAACTTACCAAGTAAGATTCGACGAACTGATATTTTTCCAGGCTACGCTGCCGATGGTTACGCCCGTGTCAAGGGCATCTCTGCCATCATCACTACCTTCGGTGTTGGTGAGCTTTCCGCCATCAACGCTCTCGCCGGTGCCTACTCAGAACACATCCCCGTCGTACACATTGTCGGCTGCCCTTCCACTATCTCCCAAAAGAACGGCATGCTCCTGCACCACACACTTGGCAACGGCGATTTCAACGTATTTTCCAACATGAGTTCTCAAATTTCATGCGATGTTGCGCGCCTCAATAACCCCGCCGAGATTGCCAACCAGATCGACCATGCTCTCCGAGAGTGCTGGATCCGCAGTCGCCCCGTCTACATCATGCTTCCCACCGACATGGTCCAGAAGAAGATCGAGGGCCAGCGCCTGAACAAGCCCATCGACCTCGAGGAGGCCATCAACGACCCTGACAGAGAGGACTACGTCGTCGACGTTGTCCTCAAGTCCCTTCATGCCGCCAAGAAGCCCGTCATGCTGATTGACGCCTGCGCTATCCGCCACCGCGTTCTCCCCGAGGTTCATGCACTCCTTGAAAAGACAAAGATTCCCGTCTTCGTAACGCCTATGGGAAAGGGTGCCGTTAACGAGTCCCATCCCAACTACGGTGGTGTTTATGCCGGTACCGCTTCGCAACCCGATGTGGGCGAGCGACTCGAGTCTTCAGACTTGATCTTGTCCATTGGTGGTCTCAAGGTGGGTTGCCCTGCTGCTCCTAAGAACCCAAAGACAGTTTACTAACATT